AATGGATTTAGTACATTCTGTTCTGAATATCAGGGGAAAGTGATTTCGAAATAAGCGGTGGTTGTTATTTAAGCATGTGTCTCATGACCAGGAGCAGCAGCAGATGGCAGGCATGGCATCGCAGACGGGCACATCTCATTCATCGCTCGCCACGCCACCTTCCACCGTTCAGCCTGCCCGCCAAAGCTCCATGGCTCCTCCCACGCAACGCATGAAATCTCAACCCTCGCATCAGCTTTCCGTGAGTTCTGCCGCCGCAGCCACTCCTGCAGGCAAAACCAGGCCACAGAGTGGAAACCTGCTCCAGTCCCCGGAGTCTGGCTTCGGGGGCCGGCAACAGGGTCCTCGGCAGCAGCTGTCCGTCAAAGACAGCACCCCGCCTGGCCTGCCGCATCAGCAGAGCTCCACCAGAGAGAGCCAGGGATCCCAGGGCTCTCAGGGCGGAACGCCGCAGTCCACACAGCAATCCAAATCGCATCAGGAACGGCAGCAGATCCAGCAACAGCATCTGCTCAAGCCTACCATGAGCAAACAGGTGTTCCATTCAGAAACCATTGTTCACTCTGCTATCAGTGTGTGTATGTGCGTTTGTGTCTAGTATTTCTTCAGCTGGATATTTCTTTTTGTGTGTGATCTCTATAAAATTATTTATAAAAATACTTTTCAAGTCATTTGTGATGGAAAAAATGTGGGCTGAACTGTTTTCAAGTTTATTAAAGCCATTTAATGGGCAATAATTTAACAAATTATAAATATTTAATATATAAAATATTTATCACACATAAAAACGAGGATTTTTTTAAGGTGGCAACATCAAACTTTATAGTCAATACAAACTAGTAAAACAAACAAATGCCACAATTTATCAGTCTGAATGGAAAACGTAGTTATAAATGTGGTTATTTAAATAAATATTTATTTCACTATAAAAAGACATAAAATGCCACACAGGGAGTTTTTCACAATTATTCTTTGCTGATTTTAATAATATTTTGAAAGTTTACTAAAGCCATTTAATATCTTGTTTGCTATATTTTTTACAAATTCAAAAAAAGCTATATTTATGACCCACAAAAATGAGAATCTCATTAACACTGCAAAACACCTTATATTTATAATAAATACATCTACTAAAACAAACAAAAAATGAAAAACATAGTATTAAATATCATTATTTAAATAAGTTTATTTTGCTACAAGAAGATGCTGCACAGGGATTATTTTTGGGCAGATTTTAGAGAAAAATCTTCAGAATTCTGTGAAATGGATTCAAACCTGGTCAAATGTGTTAAATGGAGCTGAAAGCACTATAATTTAATTGGTAATAGTGGGAGATTGTGAATTAAAAAAAAAGAATATTAGTCGAATTTAAAATAAACATTTGCATTTGAATGCAAAAATGGTACAATCGAATGTTAGGAGTGCGTCAGGGAGCGTCATCGGTGCGCGAGATGCGGTGATGATGATGTAAGTGATGTTGCATTTGAATGTTTTGTTAGTCTAGCCCACGAGACGCGCCACTGCTTCGTTATTCGTTCAAAATATTAGAGAAATATAGTAGCTCAATGCGTAGAAGATCTTGATTAGGTTAAAACCGAAAACCGAAACGTTTAGAAAACGCGACGCGAATTTGTGAAGGTTTATTTCATTTCACTGCGTCTCATATGTTTTTAAATGCGATCTGTGTGATCGGTGATTTGGCTCTTTGTATTAGGCTAAGCAATGCATAAACACATGATGCTGTTTTGTTCATAATTGTTTATGCCGTTTACAAAATTATATTTGATTTATATATGTTAATTTAGGCGTTATGCATGTTTTTATAGACAGTTATTTGAATTGACAATTAATGCGCTGCATTATTTTGCTCATTGCGCCCTCCTGTGGCCTCGGGAAACAAGTTAAAAATGTCCTTAATGCCGAGTTCAGTTTCACACTGAACGATTATCTGGGGTAGCGTTCAGTTGTTGCTGTGTTCACACTGCACGATGGAACGATGACAGGAGGTTACACACTGCATGACTTTACAATAGGAAGAATCGCCGACAGCTCTGTCTGGTGCAGGGTTGACAGGTTTTTGCTACAAAACCCGCGCAATTACTACTCAAAACTAGCCTGAAAATAGCCCAATTGCTTTGGAGGGGGTCCCCCAGTAGCTAAACTTTAGCTGTGGGCACAATTTGCTTGCATAAGTGTTTTTGTATTTTATGTCATTATTATAAGAACGGATTGGAGCCAGACTGTATAAAAACATGGACGTAGTGTCCGTGACGTCACCCGTAGGGTTCCAAAGATAGTTTTTGAAGCTCAAAAGTGGGCCGTCGCCATCTTGGCGTCACTCACGGATAATCGAAGATGGGCAAAGAGGCGGGAGCTGGTTGTTGAAACCACGCCCACCTAGCTCGATGGTGGTGACAGCAGCAGCAATCCACCTGTCACTCAGGTGGCCACGCCCTTAATTATGCAGAACTTTAAGGCTTAATATAATTTAAACGGATGAGTTATAAAAAAATTCACCCCCCTCACAGTTATCATGAAGGGCAAAATTAGCTATATAGACCAAAATAATTTTTTGAACCAGGCTGTAAACATGTTTTTTTCTGCTGTAAAGTTAGGCATTTTAACATGGGGAGTCTATGGGATTGACTCCCTTTTGCAGCCAGCCTCTAGTGGCCAGTTGATGAATTACAGTTTAAGTCACTTCCTTGTTGGCTTCACGAGAGAGAGCGGGAGGTTGCCACTTGGTCAGAACTCATTGCA